GAAAGAGCCCGTTGGGGCAGTGAGTGGCTGGGATGTTGCCATCCCTTGTCAATCCTGGCAGAGGAGTGTGTGACCGTGCTGCTCGGTCCCGAGGTGGCTCGGGAGCACGTGGTGGGTTCCCGGGCTTTGCTCCTTGGTTCCCGCAGTCACCGGCTTCCTCCTCGCCCTCGCTCCTGGCACCGCTGGCTTGGTCTCTGCTCATCCAACGGTGGCTGCGGTGTCAACACAGGCATTTTTTTCTGGAGCTGGAGTGGGATGCTTCGAAAGTGCTGCAGTGAACTTCTAAAAAGGTACCCAGAGCTGAGCTGGAGGTGTCATCAGCGAAGATGCTGCCAGCCCCGACCTTCCCGCGCCACTTCCTAACCCCGCTCACAGGCAGGGCCTGCCGATATGTTCTCCTATTGCCGGTTGCAAAAGGGCTTTCACCAAAACATAACGAAAGCATGGAAGGGCGCGGGCTGTTGCCCGGTTGCAGCATGTGTTACTTAAAAACAAGTGACAAGTTTGGACATTACAAAAAAAAATACAATGGGCTGATTTCTGCTCTCTGGCTCCGGGGCAATTCCTTTGGGATCCCTGGGGTTGTATCAGTGGCCAGGGAGCAAAGTTTGGCTCTCGCTAAGTGGTTTATGGGATTTTTAGTTTTCATTTAGCCAAAAAATAAGAAGGGGGAAAAAAAATCAAAAAAATATCTGGTGTGGAAAGACAAAAGACATTCAAAACCTCCCTAGCTGGCCAGAAAGGATCCCTTTGAGGGGGCAGATGCGTTAAGGGGAACAAGAAGCATCTGGCTGCAGGAACGGGGCTGAGCCAGGCACCTGGAACGCGGCAGTGGTTTCAGGAAGGGAGCACTGGGGTGTGATGCTCAGTGCTGCCCTGGCTCCCGTGGTTTGGTGCGTGCTGCCGCGGGGTGTTCGGGGTGCAGGAGGTGGGCACCTTGGCCATCGGTGGGGTCACCCTTTGCAAATTGTCCTTGAGCTGCCCGGCGAGGCGGACATGGAGGTTTTGTGGTCTGTTGCCCGTCCGACGGCAGCCCTGCCTGCCTGCGCTGGGGTGTCTCGCCACTCGGGGCGCGGGCTTGCCGGCGGGGGCGCGGTGGCGCGCGGG